AGGTGGTTCTGGTCAGGAAACAGAGGAAGGAACTCTGGGAAAGTCTGAAAGGGAGAAATAGCATTAGGCTAAGGGGTTTAAACCTTGATCAATTTCTGGCTCAAGTATTGCTGGAGACTTCCAGGTTTCAAGAGCCTTCTTCTCCCTGCTTCCCAAGGTTTGGGATCCTTTCCCTTCAAGACTCGGAAGGAACTGCAGAGTCGGAAGGCTAAGAGTGAAGCTTTCACACTGGCCGATCTGAGGCAACTGCCAGAGCTGAACCCACCAGTGCTGATGCCCAATGGGAACGTGGGGACTCCCTTGCAGGTCTTTTTGGAGTTGATCCGGGCCTGCCGCCTACCCCCTCGGATCATCACCCAGCTGCAGCTCCAGTTCCCCAAGACAGGTTCCTCCCGGCGCTATGGCAATGTGCCCTTCAAGTATGAGGACTCAGAGACTGTGGAGCAGGAAGAGTTTGTGTACACGGCCGAGGGAGAGGAAATACCCCAGGGAACCTGCCTGGCAGACATACCAGCCAACCCCTGTGGAGAGCCAGAAGAAGAAGAGGAAGAAGAGTCACACTCAGATGACGTGAGTACAGTGAGCCATCCTGTCCTTGCTGGCAGCTTAGAGAGGCCAAGACATTAATACTACCACTCTTCAATTGTATATTACGAGAGTTCTAGGCCTGGGATCCTCGGGAGGGTTCCAAAGACTTTGAACTCCCCGACATTGAATGCAAAACTGCATTTGCAAGTATGTGTTTCTTTGGGGAGAGGGGCCAGAGCTTTTATCAAAAGATTCACAAAAGGATCTTCTTTTCATTTCTTCAGAAGAAATGTAAGGAGAGCCCTTTTCATTGATGAAATCTACTGACTGAGAGATAGATCATCTAAGGAAGTAGAGGCAGAGCTAGGGTGTGAACTCAGTCCTCTTTGCTGCTTGTCTTACCTCTGTGTGCTTTCATTTTGTGGCTGAGAAGTTGCATCTATTTTCTGACCTTGAGTTGGTGGATTAAACACCAGCCTCCACTCTTAACATTATCAGTGAAATAGGCATTTCTTCTGCCTCTTTCTCCAAACTTGATTGTTCATCCATAAAATCAGGAGAGGTGTGATTTGTTGGGGACCTTTTTTTTTTTTTTTACTGCATACTCTGTGTAAGAAGTAATTGATGTCTTCAAAGCTCCCATCTCAGTGTTGCTGACACATCTGGACCACATCCTTTAGTGTGGTACTGTCCTGACTTTTCTCTAGCACTTGATCTGCAGCAGTGATTGCTGAAGCCTCCTGGAGTTTCACTGGGGCAGGGGCCCCCAGAATTTCAAGCCAGGAGTCATCCTGTCATTCCACAAGTCCAGTTGAGCAGTTGTAAACACAGGGGCTAGTGCGGGACTCCAAAGACATTCTAAGACCCATTTCCTTCTCTCAAAGAGCCTTACATCTCCTTGAAGAGAGAGAAGCAGCATCTGGAAAGGCTATGATATGGTATTGGTTTGAATGCTGGCTCTGCCTCTCTCTTGGTGTACTCTCGGGCAAATCACTTTACTCCTCTGGATTGAGGTTTCCTCATCTGTAGAATGGGAATAATAGTCCTTACCTCACAGGGTTGTTGGGGTGATTAAAGAAGCTAAGATATGTGAAGGGCCTGATACATAGTAAATAATAGATATTAGTTCTTGCCCTTCTTTCTTTGTGACATAATGTATAAAGGTGTAACAGTGTGTATGGATTGGCACTCAGAAGTTCAGAGACCAGTGAGAGTGCTGTGGGTCTCGGTGTGTGAGCTTCACATAGGCTGCAGAACTTGAGGGATGAGGAGGATTTAACCAAGTGAAGAAGAGGTGGTGGTGGAAGAGGAGGGCAGATACTTCTGGGAGAACAAGATGGCCAAAAGCACAAGGATACTAATGAGTCAGGCTTGTGGGGGAAGGGGCCAAGTATGTTGAGAAAGAGTCAGGGCATGGAGAGGTGTGTTGGTCAGACCTTGAGGGTTAAAAATGTGCTGTTTCTCAGAGAGATTTGGAGGAATGGAACTGTGCCCTGAGCTGCCCTCCTTGCGTTGCATGAGGTCAGGAAGCTGGACAGGCAGGTCACTTCTCCCCACCTTCTCCCAGGATGATGACCGGGGTGAGGAGTGGGAGCGGCATGAAGCACTGCACGAGGACGTGACTGGGCAGGAGCGGACCACTGAGCGGCTCTTTGAGGAGGAGATTGAGCTCAAGTGGGAGAAGGGTGGCTCTGGCCTGGTGTTCTACACTGACGCCCAGTTCTGGCAGGAGGAAGAAGGAGGTAATGCTGGCACCTGGGCAGGGGCAGGGATGACCCCTGCTGCATTCACTCAGGGTGCTCTGCTCCACACGGTGGGTTCCCTGGCAGTGAGCCCAAAGAAAGGGCTAGGGAAGAGGCTTTCCTTGGTTGTATATGAGAGACCAGTCATCCTTTATAGGGGTAGGGGATCAGTGGAGTGGAGTGAAGATGCCCTCCTGCAAATTCTGAATGACCCTCCCAGAGGAAAGATTTGAAAATACAATCAAAAGCCCCCAGTTCTAGAACGTGTGTCTTACGTCTAGATTTAACTCTCAACAGAACTGAAAGTCCCTAGCTTACTCTGCTTAATGTTTTTATATCTGCAGACTTTGATGAACAGACAGCTGATGACTGGGATGTGGACATGACTGTGTACTACGATACAGGTACTGAACCAGGGGTTGCAATACTGCAAGATGGAATGGTGCCCTGGCCTTGCAGCGACACTTTCCCAGTCCTGCTTAGCAGTGGCTGAGACGGGGCACCAGTTCCCTTGGGGTAGCCCACTGAGAGTGTGCCTCTCTTAAAACGTCTCTGGTTGAGTGCATTAAGTGCTGGTTGTGGGCAGAGCATTTTTCCTTTCTTTGTGGAGGAAGGACATGTAGGAACAGCCTTCAGGGAGCTCTCGTTCTGATGGGCAGGCCCTAGTACAGTGGGAGGGGCAGGAGTTCAGGCTCTGGTTAAGAATTTAGACTTTGGAGTCAAAAATGACCTATGGTGGTTGCGGGGTGGGAGGGGTTCTAGTTCCATCTCTCAGTTTATGGCTCTGTGACTTTTCTCCACCGCATTTTCCTCATCTGTAAGATGAGACAGCCACGGTTCTTATCTCTTGGTGAGCTTCCAGCCTAATGAGAGAAATAATAATAAAGTAATAAAACACCATAAAGATGAATACATAAATCTTGTGAGGAGGGTCTAGAAACCTGATATTCCCCTTTTCTGCTGAGAGAGACCCTTCCTCAAACTGGGCTGCTTCCTCAGATGGTGGAGACAAGGATGCCCGAGACTCTGTCCAGATGCGTCTGGAACGGAGACTCCGTGATGGCCAGGAGGCCGGCTCCGTGATTGGATGCCAGGTGGGCACCTTTGAGCGCCACACCAAGGTGAGCACTGTGCCCAGCCCCCTGATCCCTTTCATTTCCTTCTTACCCCCATTTCCTCTCCGACCCTAGCAGGAGCCATTTCTTGAGTCTTCTACCTTCCCTCTGCAGGGCATTGGACGAAAGGTGATGGAACGACAGGGCTGGGCTGAGGGCCAGGGCCTGGGCAGCCAGTGCTCAGGGGTACCTGAGGCCCTGGATAGTGACGGCCAACACCCCAGATGCAAGCGTGGATTGGGGTGAGTATGGCTGAGGGACTTCCCTGGGAGCCCAAGCAAGCCTTTCAGCTGTACCCCAGGTCCCCTTTCCCTCTGGTTTTGGGTTGGGTGCTAGAGACCCCTAGGGAATGAACTTCAAAGCAGAATTAGAAGGAAAAAGTAGGTCTGGCACTATTTTTCCAAGACTGAGCCCTCAGGCTTGACAGGATCATTGATCTCCTGGGGGAGTTATTCCCCCGGATCTGAAGAGTTTGGACTTGATGATTGTTGTTAGGGAGTGACTGTAAGTCACAAAGTGGTGACAGTTGTTCTAAATTGCTAATACTGTTTGAAATGAAAGCAGTATGTGAGGCCTTTGGTTTCTGGCACTATTAATGGATGGATAAGGGAGCTGGAGAGCAAAGATCCAGATTTAAATGCTGTCTTTGGGACAAACCAGATATGTAGTAGCTATTTCCCTGTCCTTTCCCAACCCCTTACTGGGGTGAGAGAGCAGCCCTCTCACTGAGAGCACTTTTTCATCCAGATACCATGGAGAGAAGCTACAGCCATTTGGGCAACTGAAGAGGCCCTGTGGAACTGGCCTGGGGCTCATCTCCACCATCTACGATGAACCCCTACCCCAGGACCAGGGGGAGTCACTGCTCCGCCGCCAGCCACCCACCAGCATGAAGTTTCGAGCAGACATGGCCTTTGTGAGGGGTTCCAGCTGTGCCTTGGACAGCCCCTCAGAACCTGAGTGACAGGGTCAAGGGCTTCCTTTGTCAGGATTACTTACAACTGCACAGTGGCCACCCTGTGCCCAGCCTTATCTCCCACCAAAGGAGAAAGAATTCTGGGAGCAACAGTCTGTGCGGCTTGTTCAAGATGCTTTATTCAGAACTTGCCTTCTGGTTCTCTACCTCAGGGGTGTTTTTACAGACAGCCCCCTATTCTTCTATTTGATGATAGGGCTTAATGACCTCTCCACGGTGTCTCCTAACCCTAGTCTCTGTTTGAGCTTGCTCCTGTTGCCTCCTCCAGTACCTCGAAAAGCTGGATTGACTGAGGTTATCAGCACAACCCTCCCGGGGGGTAGGAGGATGGGGGTCATCATGAAGCCCAGAAAGAGGGGGAAAGGGATATGGAAGAGGAGAGGATTTGTGTTCCGAAGAGATGGTCTTGGGGCGGGCCCTCCAATGCCTCTACCCTCAACTGCCTGGGACCGGACAGCGGAGAGTCCGCGGCAGGTGTCCCGGGTCTGCGACTTAACGGGAGAATAAAGAAGTTTACTACCGAATTTCTCTTTCTCTTCTAATTGGGGGAGGAGGAAGGTGGGAAAATGCCCTGAAAGGTTGTCCCAGGACCGCACGTCCGTCCCACGCCCCGCCGTCACCACGCCCCTCGGCGCCGAGTTGCTACGTCACCGCGAGGGCGGAACTTCCTCTCTGGGCCGTGCTGTTTCCGACGTCGTCCGGAAGTCGGGTACTGGTCCCATTAGTACCTGGACGTCTGGTCTTGCCGCGTGCGGGTTCCTGCTCTTCCTCCTTAGGCGACCCTCGGGCATCGCCGCCGGCCCCCGACATAGTGCACGTCGGGGATTCCGTCGCCCTCGGCTCGTCTCCGGCGTGACTCCCACCCTGCTTCCCCGCGGAGTTTATCTGCCCTGTAGGGGGCTGTGTGCCGCCCATGGCGGGGGCCGCTCCGGCCACAGCCTTTGGGCAGGCGGTGATTGGCCCGCCGGGCTCGGGGAAGACCACGTACTGCCTGGGCATGAGTGAGTTCCTGCGCGCGCTAGGCCGGCGGGTGGCGGTGGTGAACCTGGACCCGGCCAACGAGGGGCTGCCGTACGAGTGCGCCGTGGACGTGGGCGAGCTGGTGGGGCTGGGCGACGTGATGGACGCGCTGCAGCTGGGGCCCAACGGCGGCTTGCTCTACTGCATGGAATACCTGGAGGCCAACCTGGACTGGCTGCGTGCCAAGCTCGACCCCCTCCGCGGTCACTACTTCCTCTTCGACTGCCCTGGCCAAGTGGAGCTCTGCACGCACCACGGAGCCCTGCGCAGCATCTTCTCCCAAATGGCGCAGTGGGACCTTAGGGTGCGTCTGGGGTTCGGCAGGCTAATTTTGCAGATGGAGGAACTGAGACAGGGAGGGCAGATGCCATGCGCCCATGTCCCACAGCAAGGTAGGGCAGAGTCGCTTTGGAATAAAACAGGTGTGAGTTCGAATTCTGGCTCCGCCACTGACTCGCTGTGTAATCCTGGACAAGTCAGTTTATCTCTCTGAACCTCAGTTTTCTCATCTGTAAAATGGATGTGTTATACCCAACTTGAGATTATTGGAAATATGGAAGGGGTTATGTGGAAAGTGGCATGGTGATTGTTGTGACTTAGTAGGCAAAAGAAAGTGAAAGAACAGAGTCAGATGCAGTGGGAATTGAACCAGTTGCCCACTGGGAGGCTCAGTGCAAGGCATCTTGTAGGAAAAAGTGCCCCGTATCTTTTGGGATAAGAAAGTGACTGGCTATTAGAATGAAAAACGAGGAGGAGGAGACTAGTGGGAAGGCTTGCCCTTTGTCCTCAGAAGTCCCAATCTGATAGGGGAGACATAGGCCCTAATGTTCTCTGCCTCCCCAGACCCCTCACCCTATTTCTTCCTTCCCTCCCAGCTGACTGCTGTCCATCTGGTGGACTCTCACTACTGCACAGACCCTGCCAAGTTCATTTCTGTACTGTGTACCTCCCTGGCCACTATGCTGCATGTGGAGCTGCCCCATGTCAACCTCCTCTCCAAGATGGACATCATTGAGCATTATGGGAAGCTGGGTAAGAGCTCCTGTTCTGGCAGGCAAAAAGTAGGGCAGCATCTGGACTGGAGTGAAGCAGAGATCTCAACTGAAGGAAGTTGCCTCCAGGGACCATGCATGGTCTGATAATAGTAGCCACAGGCAGGCTCTGACCCCTGCCCATTTGTTTTGTGCCACTCTGTGTCAGATACTGTTCTGGGTTTTGGGGACAAGAGAGCTACAGATGGTGCTATGTATTATGAAGGAATTAGAAGAAGGTGATGGGACAGTGAGTGGGAGTAAGGGAGTGAACAGTATCACGTGAACTGAGACCCAAATGGTGACAAGAAGGCAGAGACCAGTAGGAGCAAAGGCCCTTAGGGAAAGAGCTTTTTGTGCTCAAGGAAAAGAGGGTGGGGAGTGGGGGGAGCCCAGGGTAGCTGAGATAGTGGCTGGGGGAAGGGTGGTAGGAAGTGAGATCAGAGAGCTAGGCAGGGGCTGGAACCTGTATTGTTGAAACACAGAACAGCCATTGATGAATAAGAAACAAGAGAACAGCATGAACTGAAAAGGTCCTTCTGGCTGTTCTGTGGAGAATGAATGGAAAGGGGCAAGAATGAAAACAGATCCTGCAGGAGGTTTCTGCAGCAGCCCAGGCCATGGTAGTGGGAATGGAGAGAAGTAGATAGATTCAAAACTTACCCAAGAAATTGGATTTGCTGGTAGATTGGATGTGGAGACAGAGGAATTAAGATGACTCTCTGGTGTCTGACTAAGCCACTGGATGAATAAAGGTGCCATTTGTCAAGGTGGGAAAGCCTGAGGGAGAAGCAGGCTGGTACTTGGCCAGGGTGTTGCCTGGGGGTCTAATGGCCGGCATTTTTTTTCCTGCAGAATTAGTGCTCTGCTGAGCTGGGGGCATCAGTTCCTTAAATAGCATCTCCTACCACAAAGGAACCTAGAGAACCAGCTGAAATGACCAGCAGTGAGCAGGAAGGGAGGTTGTTGGGAGAATGAAGTGTCAGGGCCTTGTCCAGGGAGGGTGACTGGCTAGTCAGGACATGGAGGCACCTTTGAGGGGCCACCTCAGCCCAAGTCCTGGTCTATCTCGTGGCAAGCCCAGAAGCCCCATTTTCTCTCCGCCCAGGTTTGCAGTCTTCCCAGGCCCCTCTCCCACTTCACAGCCTCCAGCCCAGATGGCTTCATGCTGGTCCTCTACATTTCTAGCTCTAACTCCTGCCAGTCATCCTCACAAGAAACAAGTGCAAACCAGATCAGGCAACTGAGACCCAGAGACATTATATGAATAGCCCAAAGCCAATCACTCAGCTAGTATATTAGCTGAGATGAAATCTCAACCCGGGTGTACCTGGCTCCAGTTTCTTAATTCTCAATGACAAGCATACCTGTCAGGCAATCTAAGAAGTTTGCTGGGATGCCCAGGACTTTTTTCCGCACAGACATAGGGATGTCTGTTTCTAATTAGAGCTGATTAGAACACAGGAAGTAGAGCGCAGGGAGTGAGTTGGTCAGTCCCCTCAGCTCACTCTGGGATGGTCCTGCTGAGTAGCCTAACTGCTTGGGTTTTCCAGGCAAAAATAGTGCAAGGAGGCCCACTTTCCTCCTCTTAGTGGGAAGTTTGTATTCACAATACTGAGTCAGGGACCTCTGAGTCCTCTAGTCTGGTCTTCTCTTTTACATTAGGAAGGAACTGGTCCAGAAAGGGAAAGTGATTTTCCCAAGAGACTACCCTGCTAGATAGAGGCCTTGCAGTGTGTGCCGGGTCCCAAGGGTGCTGCCTGACTGTGAGCCTCGTGAGGAGGGCCCAAGCACTGTTCTTGGTACATCTTCCCTGTCCTCAAGTCTTTAGCCTGATGCCAGCTGCTCCTGAACACCAGTTTCTCTTCTTAGCTTTCAACCTGGACTACTACACAGAGGTCCTGGACCTCTCCTACCTGCTTGACCACCTGGCTTCTGATCCTTTTTTCCGCCACTACCGTCAGCTCAATGAGAAACTGGTGCAGCTCATCGAAGACTACAGCCTGGTCTCCTTCATCCCTCTCAACATCCAGGTACAAGCACACTTCACTTTATTGTGCTTCTCAGATACTAATTCTTTCTTTCTTTCTTTTCCTTCCTTCCTTCCTTCCTTCCTTCCTTTCCTTTCCTTTCCTTTCTTTCCTTTCTTTCCTTTCTTCATAAATGGAAGGTTTATTGCAATCCTGCATTGAACAAGTCTATGGGCACCATTTTTCCCACTGTATTTGCCCACTTTATGTGTCTGTGTCACATTTTGGTAATTCTCACAATATTTCAAACTTTTTCATTATTATTACATCTGTTATAGTGATCTGTGATCAGTGATCTTTGATGTTTCTGGGGGTTTTATTCTTTTTTTTTTTATTGAAGTATAGTCAGTTTACAATGTGTCAACTTCCGGTGTACAGCACAATGCTTCAGTCATACATGAATATGCATATATTCGTTTTCATATTCTTTTTCACCGTAAGTGATGTTACTGTTGTAATTGTTTTGGGGCACCATCAACTGCACCCATATAAGATGGTGAACTTAACCTATAAATGTTATGTGTGTTTTGACTGCTCTACTGACTGGCTGTTCCCCCATCTCTCTCCCTCTCCTCCGGCCTCCTTATTCCCTGAGACACGCCAGTGTGAGGATTAGTTAATAACCCTACAATGGCCCCTAAGTGTTCAAGTGAAAGGAAGAGCGTCACATCTCTCACTCTAACAGCTAGACATGATAAAGCTTAGTGAGGAAGGCATGTTGAAAGCCAAGACAGGCTGAAAGCAAGGCCTCTTGCACCAAACAGTTAGCCAAGTTGTAAATGCAAAGGAAAAGTTCCTGAAGGAAGTGAAAAGTGCTACTCCAAGTGGACACAGGAATGATAAGAAAGCAAAACAGCCTTGTTGCTGATAAGGAGAAGGTTTTAGTGGTCTGGATAGATCAAACCAGCCACAACATTTCCTTAAGCCAAAGCAAGACCCTAATTTTCTTCAGTTCTCTGAAGGCTGAGAGAGATGAGGAAGCTGCCAAAGAAAAGTTTGAAGCTAGCAGAGGCTTAAGGAAAGAAGCATCTCCATAACATCAAAGCGTAAGGTGAAACAGCAAGTGCTGATGTAGAAGCTACAGCAGGTTACCCAGAGCATCTAGCTGGGATCATTCATGAAGGTGGCTACACTACACAGATTTTCAGTGTAGACAGGACAGCCTTCTGTTGGGAGAAGATGCCATCTAGGACTTTCATAGCTAAGGAGAAGTCAGTGCCTGGCTTCAAAGCTTCCAGGGACAAGCTGAGTCTTTTATGAGGCACTAATGGCAGCTGGTGACTTTAAGTTGAAGCCAGTGCTTATTTACCATTCCAGAAATCCTAGGGCCCTTGAGAATTATGCTAAATCTACTCTGCCTGTGCTCTGTAAGTAGAACGACAGATCCTGGATGACAGCACATCTATTTAAACATGGTTTACTAAATATTTTAAGCCCAATATTGAGACCTACTACTCAGAAAAAAGGATTCTTTCTAAAATATTTCTGTTCATTGACAATGCACCTGGTCACTCAAGAGTTCTGATGGGGATAGTTTTCATGCCTGCTAACACAACATCCATTCTGCAGCCCATGGATCAAGGAGTAATTTTAAGTTTCAAGTCTTAGTATTTAATAAATACAGTTCATAAGGCTCTAGCTGCTGTATGTAGTGATTCCTCTCACGAATCTGGGCAAAGTGAACTGAAAAGCTGGAAAGGGGTTGGCATTCTTGATGCCATTAAGAATATTCATGACTCGTGGGAAGAGGTCAAAGTATCAGCATTAACAGGAGTTTGAAAGAAGTTAATTCCCTCATGGATGACTTTGAGGGGTTCAGGACCTCAGTGGAGGAGTCACTGCAGAGGTGGTAGAAACAGCAGGAGAACTAGAATTAGAAGTGGAGCCTGAAGATGTACCTCAATTGCTGCAATCTCATAAAATGTGAGTGGATGAGGAGTTGCTTCTTATGGATAAGCAAAGAAATTGGTTTCTTGAGATGGAATCTACTCCTGGTGAAGATGTTGTGAAGATTGTTGAAATGAGGAGGAGGGTATAGCTGAGTGGTAGAGTGCATGCTTAGCATCCTGGGTTCAATCCCCAGTACCTCTGTTAAAAAATAAATAAAAATATGAAACCTAATTACCCCCCCAAAAAAAACCCCAAACAAACAAACAAAAAAAGAAACCTTGTTGAAATGACAATAAAGGAGTTAGAATATTACATACGCTTAATTGCTAAAGTAGCAGCAGTGTTTCAGAAGATTGACTCCAGTTTTTAAAGAAGTTCTACTGTGGGTAAAATGCTATCAAACAGCATTACATGCTACAGAGAAATCGTTCATGAAAGGAAGAATCAATCGATGTGGCAAATTTCATTGCTGTCTTACTTTAAGAAATTGCCACAGCCACCCCAGCCTTCAGCAGCTACCACCCTGATCAGTCATCAGTCATCAACACCAAGGCAAGAACTACTAGCAAAAAGACTACAACTTGCTGAAGGCTCAGATGATGGTTAGCATTTTTTTAGCAATAAAGTATTTTTTAATTAAGATAAGTACATTTATATTTTTTGAACACAGTGCTATTATACACTTAATAGACTATATAGTAAAATATAAACATGAAATATGCACTGGGAAACCAAAAAATTTGTGTGATTCACTTTATTGCGATAGTTGCTTTATTCTGATGGTCTGGAATCCAATCCACAACATCTCTGAGGTGTGCCTGTGTGCCTCTACTGGGCACTAAGAGGCCTTACCCCCTTGGATATTGACTCTGAAGTGCCTGGGACCTCACCATGCCACGGGTATAGGAGGCTTTGATGACTCAAGCAATGGTCTTTGTCCACGGTCCGACTCTCATTCGGTCCCCTTGGTTTCCAGACCACGGTGGGCAGGATTTCAGTAAAGTGGGTGGGCCAAGCTTTGGCCCTGTCTGTTCTGTATTGCTGGGTTCTCTCTACACACGTTCCCTCCTTAGTGTGAAAATGGTTAAGTTCAGAAAGTCACCAGCAAGGGACTTGGCCAAGGCCAGGGACAGGTCTTTGAGGCTTCTTCAAGATGGGCAACTGCCTGTTGTCTTTGCAGAGTAGTACCCAACCCTGTGCCTCTCACCTTGCACCCTACAAAGGTAGCCTGGGAGTCAATGGTGCACGTTAGATTCCTTTCTGCAGTGGGTAGACTTAAGCAGACTTGTCTCTTTCCTGTTTAATGCTACACTTTTCTCCTCTAAAATGAGGAAGTGAACCATATGATATTAATTGTAACAATTACCATTCATTGAAGGCTTTCCATGCTAGGCATTATACTAAGGGCTGTACATGCATTATTTTGATCTCTTTCCCAGCCTGTGATACAGCGACCATTTTATCACTTTTATGTGGATAAAAAAATAGTTTATATACATATTTATTGGATGCCTCCTGTTAGCTAAGTACTGTGCCCAGCACTGGGGATGAGTCCCTGATCTCAAGGGGTGCACAGTCAAGTAGGAGAGGCAGGGGAGTTAATAACTTGTTAATAACTTAGTAAGATGGTCGGATCACAGCTACTGTAGAGCTACACCTGGGGGACTATAGGTGTGCATAGAGGAGCTTATCTGTTCTAATTTGGGTGGGTGGGTAGTCAGGAAAGCTGGGGTGTAGCCAGGCCTCTGGGGACAGGTGGAACTACTCCAGGCCAAGGAATGCATGTACAGAGAATTTCTGAGGCAAGATCGAGGCGGGTGTTTGGAGACAGCAGGTAGTTTGGAACAACCTCAATTGCACATACCTCTGTCCCACTCAGAGCTGTTTCTCTCTTCTGTACCCAGGACAAGGAGAGTATCCAGCGGGTCCTGCAGGCTGTGGATAAAGCCAATGGCTACTGCTTTGGGGTCCAGGAGCAACGGAGCCTGGAGGCCATGATGTCTGCTGCAATGGGAGCTGACTTCCATTTCTCCTCGTATCCTTACTCTATAGCCTCCACCACAGCCAAGAGGGGGAGACGCTGGGCTCAGGAATGGCCATATCTGTCTTTGCAGATGATTGAACTCACGTTCACCAGTTGGGCTCCCTGGTGACTGGTCCCTTAGAAAACTTCGGGGTTGGCTGTACCTGGGGACAAGGGAGGATACTGATCAGAAGGAGCAACAAATACAGAGGCCCAGAAATGAAAGGGCATTGGTCATCTGGGAGAGATCCAAGGGGTTTGGTTTGCCTGGTGTCTTGAGTGTGAAGGGGAAAGGGAGACGCAGTGGTACAGGGGAGGGAGGCAGGTGGGACTGGTGATGGAGGACCTGAGTGCCCTACTTAAGTTGTGTGGACCTCAGCCTGTGGGTGGGCGGTGGGAACCAGCATACTGTCGAGGGGCAGAGCGTGGCGTGATCAGATATACATGTTTGAAAAGCACCTTCAAGTGTAGAAAATGCCTTTAAGGAACGTGATTGGGGCTAGGAAAATCTTTACAGTCTCCAGGTGAGAACAGACGAAACAGTGAGACTAGAAAGAAGAGTGTGGATTGGAAAAATTCAAGAGATAGACAGCCAGAGCTGGTGACCAGGAGGTTATGGGATAGAAGGAGGTAGCACAGAACTTAGACTCCCAGTTTTCTGGTTTAAACAGTGGTAGGGGTGGTTATCCCTGAGGTCAGAAAAGGCAGAGGAGATAGCAGGTTTGTCATGTGGGTGAGAGAGGTGGGGGCTGGCAGCTGTGCCGTGTTTGAGGGGACCATTGGATATGTTGGAACCTCGGTCTGTCTGATTGTAGAATCTCAGGTTCTGACACTGAGTCATCTAGTCGAGCAGCCATGGTCTAGCCGTAGTCTACCCGTCTCCTAGCCAGACCCCAGACCCAGACCTCAGGCTGGCCAGCCTCACAGGGCTCCATCAGCAATGTCATGGTCTTTTCCTGTGTGAACCTGACTGGTGTCCTTCCTGCCCCACTTTCCTGCAATCCCAGAGGGAGCTAGAAGGCAACCTACAGCCCAAGCAGAAATCTGTTGTTTTCTTGGAGCTCCCTTGAGTTCCCTCCTTTAACAGAACGAGAGAAGTCACAGACATTTATTGAGCACCTACTGTGTGCTGGTTGCCATGCAGGCACATTGTATTTGTTGTTTCATTTGGTCTTCACCCTGTTTTACAGATGAGAGGAAGTGGCAAAATCAGGATTTGACCCCAGTGGCCTGGCTCCAGAGCATGTGCCATGACACGGAGCTGGAGGGTTAGCCTCTCTGGTCCTTTGCTTCTCAGCAGTGTGGGGAGAGGCAAACAGAGGAGCACTGGGGTCTGGAGGCTTTGAGGAGCTTCTCAAACCCAGTTGGTCCTGGTTGCCTGAAACTATAATTATGAGGAAGAGAGCAGGATGGGAGGAACCTGCCAGATGTGATTGGAAGGTGGGCATCAGGAGAGGTCAGGTCCCGCCCAGACCAGTTCCCCATCCTTGCCTGTGCTGTCAGCCTTGACGAACCCTCCATCAGCACCCTGGGCCTCCAGGAGAAGTACCTGGCACCCTCTGAGCAGTCAGTGGAGCAGGAGGCCATGCAGCTATAGCAACAAGCTGGGCTCTGGAGAGCAAGACGCATGACCCAGCAGTGGGGAAAGTGGTGGCTCCCAGAGAGCAGCGGACAGCTCAGCAGCTCTGCAGATCTAAGAGCAGTCCTCCCACCCAGAGATGGGAGACTGGCGAGGGGACACTCAGCCCTGCAGAGGACTTCTGGCCAAAAGCCAGACATGTCACCAAGCAGAACACCCATTACGCTCTCAGTGTTCATGAGCTCTGGACGCTGCCACCAGGAATTCAGCTCTGGCCCCGCTCGGGCTATGATGGAGTGTGCTACAATACAAGAGTTTATTTTCTACTTTTTGTGGCTTCCAAACTTTCTTCAACCACCCAGGCCAAGAGAGTTGGGGGTGGGGGGTTGGGAACTTGGGAATGTCACCTTTCCTCAGAAGAGCCCTGTTTCTTCACAGGACATTGCTTCCAGGGTTATACCAGAGGATTGATTCAGAGTCTCCAGTTGTGCACTTTTCTTAATCTTCAGTTTGAACAGTGAGCCTCATGCCTGAGCTTTCACAGGCAAGACTTCCTAGCAGATCTTACAATGTTTTTTCATTGTATTTATTTCACAGTTTTATTTTTTGCAGGGCAAGTGTTAATTAGTTTTCCATTTATAGTTGTGATTAAAAGTTTACTTTAAAATGAAATCACTTATACAAAATGAGTTGTTTACAGAAAAATATTAGTGTCTAATATGATACCATGAGGGCTGTAGCAAAAATTAAGACGGCTTTAAGTTGGAAATGCTGGTGTTTGCTTCCTTTGGTCTTCTTGCAACTGGTTGGGTGCAATTCCTATTTTCAACCAGCAGGTGGCATTCCAGGCTTACTTTTTTAATTTTAATTTTGTTTTTTCAGTTGTAGTCTAGAAGCAGAAGGAAACAGATGGCAGTTGTGCCAGAAGTCTTATTTGCAGACACTCCGTCCAGTTAACACATGGGAAAGGCTTAGCTTTTTACAAAGGGCTTCCACACACAGTCCTCATAGCAACTCCTTTTATAGCAACTCCCAGAGATGTAGACAAGAGGGAGTATTAACTAAGCTGCACTTTTACAGTAAGGAAACAGAAAGATGAGGAGTTTGAACTCCGGTTAGCCTGGCTCTCAGTTCACTTTGCTGACTTCTTAACTGGTGAACACTTAATGGTGAAAAGTCATGGCCCTTCTCCCACAGGATTTGTAGCCAATCAGGGCAAAGAATTTAAACACGTGTCGAGTATTATTTTATCATAAATCAAGGGGGAGACAGATGACTGGTGGTTTGGGCAGTTGGAGAATTCAACTTGGAAAACTGTTCTGAAGTGGCATTGAGATTGGGTGACTCAGCTTTACTTCCCAGTTTTGGCCTCCAGAGCAGGAAGCAGAAGAGTGGGGGGCTATGAGGAGGCTCCCCGGGCTGGAACAGTATGAAAGCAGCCAACCTCCGCTCCCACGCCTGGCCGCATGGGGGATAATAACTGGGTGCTGTTTCCCCTGCCTCTTTCATCTGAGGAGTTCAAAGGACCTTAACCCTATTAACACCACACACAGTTGTTAATACAGGTGGGGACGATCACCAGTGCAAGCCAGGGAAACTGAGGCCAGGAGGTACCGCCTGGGGCTGCCTGTGAGTCACCTATGGGGACTGGAGCCCAGGAATCCTGACGCCCAGGCGGCTGGACAAATCCTTCACCAGTTAGAGCATGAGGGTGGATGCTGCCCTTTTTGAAACTAGTACCGATAGTTGTGGTCATGGGTTTTGATGCTTACCCCATCACGGAGGCCCCAGCTCTCACCAAAGCACACCAGTTGGAAGGAAGGCATCATTTAGAACTTTATGGCCTCACGTCCAAGCGCCCTCAGCATTTATTCTCTGCAGTTATGGAGTGGAGGATGGAAATATTCAGGACTTTATTTTCCAGCCTTGGTGTGACAGCAAGGCTGTCTTCTCTGGTAAATGAATTTCTGTCTACCTCCCACTGATAGCAACATGATTTTCTCTTCCCTCTGTCATGGGGAGGGGACAGCACAATGCAGAAAAGCAGAGGCATCTGGGTTCCAAGTGAGGTCTGTTCAGTGTGAAATTTGTAGGGTAAGAGAAAAACCATCCTCAATTTGGCTGGCATATGACAACCATCCTTAAGATTTTTATTTATTTTTGAATTTTTTTTTCTGGAGTGAGGTAGGTAGGTTTTATTTGTTAATGGAAGTCCTGGGGATTGAACCCAGGACCTCGTGCATGCTGAGCATGCACTCCACCACTGAGCTATACCCTTCCCTCCTTAAGATTTCTTTTTTTCCTGATAAAAATAGAGAAGTAAAAAACTTGGAAAATGAAAATGTCACCCATAATCCCACCACACAAATAATATTTATAATTTATAATAAATTTCCTATTCAAATGTATAAATACAGTTTGTTTTATCTTTTAGTCTTATTTTTCTACACATTTGGAGGGATAGCTACAGCATTTATATACATGGGGTATGTTACTGCTTTGTAGCCTGCTTTTTTCAGTTAACATTATTTCATGTAATTAAAAATATAAAGACCTTTTAAATGTCTACATGATAATATTCTGCAGTACAGCCATAACATTGCTTATCCAGATTCCCATAGTTAGCCTGTAAGTCGTTATCAATCTTTTTTACTGTTGTAAATAGTGGTGTTATTAACATCTTTGTGCTGCTACACACACACACACACACACACACACACACACACACACACCCCTTCACTTGGCAATCCTGAATAACTTCTGGAGGGAGGAAACACACACACACACACACACACACACACACCCCTTCACTTGGCAATCCTGAATAACTTCTGGAGGGAGGAAACACACACACACACACACACACACACACACACACACCCCTTCACTTGGCAATCCTGAATAACTTCTGGAGGGAGGAAACACACACACACACACACACACACACACACACACACACACACACACACACCCCACACACACACACACACACACCCCCTTTCACTTGGCAATCCTGAATAACTTCTGAGGGAGGAAACCATCCCATAT